ATTATAAAATATAATATAATATCAAATTAATAATTATATTATATTCATTATAATAATATAGACTCTAATTTTTATATATGCAAAACTGAATAGTGCCTTTAAACATAGTTTCTTGAAATAGACATATCTGCCCAGTTTCGTATCGTAACGTAAACAAAGCAATTACTAAAGAAAGGGTTGTTTTTTATTTATTTATTAATCCAATAGATTTCATTACTTAAACATTATTTTTAGTGGATACTGACATTTGATTTGACGTTTCGTTTATTTATTAAACAGTATATTTAATTTCGGCTACTGAATATTCGCTACCCCTGCCCCATATATATATATATATATATATATATATATATATAAAAATAAAATTTTTACATTTGTCCGTATGTAAAATTTTTATAATGAATAACTCCTGTTCTACTCCTGGTATTGAGCCCTCTTTTGAATTAATGCTGTATACGTTTGAATTTATATTATTTTCGTTCTTATTACACGTATATATATATATATATATATATATATATATATATATATATATATATATATATATATATATATACTTAAAGATGTGCTATATTATGGGATAAAGTGCTCAATATCAGAGATAGTGCGTGTATAAAATATAAAGTGAACATAGAAGTTCATGCACTTGCAATCGTCAAGACAGGTCTGTTTCATCTAGATGAAATCGTCAAGTCACGTGGTCTGACGATTCATCTTCATACTTTATATATATATATATATATATATATATATATATTTAAATAAAGAGAAAGATCAGTAAGATTTACAATCTAGTGTTTTTTAATTATTTTTATTTTAAAAAAAGACAGTGCTCAATACAATTCTGCAGAGCATAAATATTATAACTTTACTAATTTAAAAATATGGTTCCATCGCTACACAGGAATTATCATGTTTCAAAAACAAACTAAAAAATTTAAATTTAATTATAGAATTAAATTAAAATACCTAGTAATTTAGTTTTTGAAACATGGTAATTTCTGTGTAGCGATGGACCATATTTTTAAATTAGTAAATAACAAAAAGGGGAATTTTTCTTTACCGATGCGTTTCAGTCTCTTAAGGACTTTATCAAAGTAAATGTAAGGATTCTTATTTTGCAATATTTATTTCTAAACAGAAGTAAAAATATCAAAATTTAAAAATTTAAGGACTCTCTAAAATATTCTTAAAGCTGTGTGAGTAAAGGTAAACGATGGAGGACGCCAAGTGATATAATTAAATGCCTCATAAACGAAAGTGATCCTGACCTAGCATTTCGGCTTCTGTCCTTTTCCCACCGGTGTAACGTAGTCTTTTTTCTATAAATACTATCATAGTAATTGTTCTGATGAAATATCCTCCGTGGTACCTTGACTTTATGAATTTAAGATTGACGGCAAGTTCTATATCATTTCAAAGTTGAAATATCTAGATGTAACCGTAAGTTTTATGTTAACAGTTTTTTCTGTCGCACTTCTCGCTTGTGGGACTCTCTTCTTGCTTTCCAGTTAACTTTGATCATCAAAAATTTAAACACAATGTTAATCGTTATCCGTTTGTCTTCTTAATTCTAATTCTTTTATTGTCCTCTCTTGTTAATAGCATTTTTTCTCATATTCTCTTAACACTCAGCAAACCCTTGCATCTTAATGGCTTTAATGCCCTGCTTGGGGTGAAATGAATATATAAAAAAAATGTAACCAATCATGGGAAATTTGGAGTCGTTTGGAATAAACAAAAAAAAAAAAATTGGACAATATTGCTTTAAATCATTAAAACTATTTGCATAAATCTGTTCAATGTACGAATTTCTCTGCACTTTTATTGTAGCTAGCCTATTCAATGAATAATAGAATTATTCGGTTTTATGTCTTCGCTGCCAGATGTGTTTATAATTTTGCTTCTTGCAGGCAGATATGTTGGTGGCCGTCACTTTCTTCGTCTAGTTAAACGGTGGTTGCTCTCAGCAAATTGCAAATGGTTGCTATCGGAACAAGATGGAGAGCAGAACAATATGGCTGCTGCTCATACAAAGATGGCGTTCCTATGATGGGCGCTTTCACTCACTCTCAGTGTAAAAAAACACACTGCAATATATATAGACCGCATGAGTCTTTTCTATCGAACAATTGTCCAATCAAAACAGGAATTGGAAACATGATATATTTACAGTATCTAGTATTTTCCATAAATTCTTATTCTAGCATCTAATTGTAATGGCAAACTTTCAATAGAATTAGTGTTTTTCAACGTATTACAGTATTTTCACATTTAACTGTTCTATCTATCTATCTCAGCCTGTTCTTATCTATCTATCTATCTATCTATCTATCTATCTATCTATCTATTTCACACTGTTCATATCTATCTATCTATCTATCTAAGTCAGCTTCTTTCTTTCTTTTTTCTTCCTCAGTCTCTTCATCTAAGTCAGCTTCATTCATTCATTCATTCATTCCTTCTTTCTTTCTTTTTTTCTCAGTCTATCTATCTATCTATCTATCTATCTATCTATCTATCTATCTATCTATCTATCTATTCTCCCTCATGTTCTCGACATGGAGTCATATTTAGTGACCTAGTCTGGTAAACTATTAGAAATGTAGGGTGAGTTTGTTCCTCACCGAGTATCTCGCACTTTTGGCCTTTCACCCGACTTAGCTAAGCTTAACATCACTCCGTCTAAGTCTGTTCATAGTGAATTTGCATGTCTACCTGCATTTTGAAATGTCAATTCAGGCACGTGGTAGTCGCGTATGTCTGTGTGATGGATTGTTTTCTCGTGCACATTCTATATATTTGCGAATAGACTTAAATGTAAATGTATATACATATGTATCGACCTATGCATTAGAGAGAGAGAGAGAGAGAGAGAGAGAGAGAGAGAGAGAGAGAGAGAGAGAGAGAGAGAGAGAGAGTGAGGGAGAGGGAGAGCGAGAGAGAGAGCGTATGTTAATGAACGCTATTGTTTTAATGCTTTAATATTTATACCACCTGGGTATCGACGAAAGATCGATCGCCTGATCGATTGATTGGATGTTTCTAATCTGTTGTCGCAACGGAAGCTACAGTTTTCGGGTAGTATTCACCTTCTGCGAGGGCAATTTTGGGGATTCTAATATCAATATACGTTAATGTGTAGCTGTATGGTGCTTTCTGTCTTTTATCGGAAGACTGTGTTGCTGCAATTTACATCGTGGCAAGCAAGACTGAGAGAAAGAAACCGTTGGAGGCAAGTGAAGGAGATCGAAAAAAAAAAGATAAAGAGAGCGAATGGGCGATAGTTAGAAAGAGACGGAGAAGATGAAAAGTCAAGAGAGAGAGAGAGAGAGACTAAGAGAATAAACTTATTAGAAAACGGATCTAATGTGGATGGGAAAAGGAGAAAGAAAGAAAAATAGAGCGAACGAGCGATAGTAAGAAAGAGAAAAAGTGTAAAGTCAAAAGAAAGAGAGAACGAGAAAGAGAGAGAAAGAGAGAGAGAGAGAAAGAGAGAGAAAGAGAGAAAATAAATAATGAGGAGGATCCAGTGTGGGTGGAGGAAGGAGGAGAGAAAGAAAAATAAATAAAAAGATAGATAGATAGATAAATAGATAGATAGGAAGAAAAAAGAGCAAATAAATGGCAGGTGGGAAAGAAGGAATTTGAGAAAGAAAAGATGGTAACAACCGAAGTAAACTTTCAAGAGGGAGGTAAAAAGTGAAAGGGAGGTCTAGGTAAAAGGGGAGAGAGAGAGAGAGAGAGAGAGAGAGGTGGAAAGATTAGAGAAGAACCAAGCAGTAAAAACAAAGAGAAACATACAGATAGATAGATAGATAGATAGATAGAGGAGAGGAAAGGAGAGAAGATTGAGTGTGTGAGGGAGGTGTGAAGGTTAGAGAAGAACGAAGAGGTAAAGTCAAAGATAGATAGATACATAGAGGGAGAGGGAGAGAAAAAGGAGGAGGGAGAGTGAGTGTGTGATAATAACGTAAGAGAAAAAAACAAAGAAAGAAAAACAGGCAGATAGATACGAAGACACTGATAGATAGATAGATAGATAGATAGATAGATAGATAGATAGATAGAAAGGGGAGAGAGGGAGATTGAGTGTGTGAGGGAGGTGGGAAGATAAGAGAAGAACGAAGAGATTAAGACAAAGATAGATACGTACATAGAGGGAGAGAGAGGGAGAGAAAGTGAAGGAGAGAGAGTGAGTGTGTGATAGGAACGTAAGAGAAAAAAGAAAGAAAGAAAAACAGACAGATAGGTACGAAGACGCTGAGATAGATAGATAGATAGAGAGAGAGAGAGAGAGAAAAGAGGGGGAGATTAAGTGTGTGAGAGAGGTGGGAAGGTAAGAGAAGAACGAAGAGGTAATGACAAAGACCAATAGATACATAGAGGGAGAGAGAAAAAGGAGAGGGTGATAGAAAAGGAGGGATAGTGAGTGTGTGATGGGAAAGTAAGAGAAAAAATAGAGATAGATATAAACAGATTAAGATAGATATGAACAGACTAAGATAGATACATGCATACAAAAACGATGAGAAAGAGAGAGGGAAAGGGGAGAGGGGGGAGAGATGAAGCGAGGTTGGAGGAAAACACTGACAGAGATAATGGAAGAATCTTACCTTGCGTGGGCGGTTGTTGGTAGCATTGCTCGCCATGATTGTTGGAATGTCAAGCACCCCGAATCTACCCAAAGCCTCCGTACCTCTCTATCCCCTGAACATCTCGCTTTTTATTTGGTAGTGGGGGAGGCGGGGGTGGGGTGCTCCTCCTTCTTGGAATTGTTCTTCACTATCCGCTTTTCGTTAACCATTTCCCATCATTCATCCCCCACACGCCTTGATGCTTTTTTTTTCTTCTGATTAGCTGACTGCCCAATTCAGTTACAGCACCATCGATTGAAAGTCGTCGCCCTACCCGAAATACACACACCGCTCACATCGCCTCATCTTCTTGGACCAGGGAAATTGGTTTTATTTCTCCCTGTTTGTTTTTTCGGCATCGTAATGGTGGCTCACGCCATCGTGGTGTCATTCGTCATTGTTCCATTTCTACTTCCTGTCTTTTTCGTTTTCGTACTTTTAATACACTTTTTTTTCTTTCTTTCTTTTCCTAAGTCTTTATATTTCTTTCTTTTCCTAATTCTTCCCTTTTCTTTCTCGCTCTAATTATTTATTTCTTTTCCTAACTCTTCATATTCTTTCTTTCTTTCTTTCTTTCTTTCTTTCTTTGTCTAATTATTTATCATACTTCTAATTATTCCTCTTTCTTTCTTTCTTTCTTTCTTTCTTTCTTTCTTTCTTTCTTTCTTTCTTTTCCATAATTCTTCATCTCCTGTCTTGCTTTCTTTTTTCCAAATTCTTCCTCTTGCTTTCTTTCTTTTTCTAATTCTTCTTCTTCTCTTTTCTTTCTTTCTTTCTTTCTTTCTTTCTTTCTTTCTTTCTTTCTTTATCTTGTTTCTTTTCTTAATTCTTCATCTTTCTTTTTACTTTCTTTTTGTTTCTTTTCCCTAATTTTTTCATCTTTTTTCTTCTTAATTCTTTCTTTCTTTCTTTCTTTCTTTCTTTCTTTCTTTCTTTCTTTCGTTTCCCAATTCTTTATACTGTTTGTTTCTTTTTCTTCATCGTTACTTTTAAAAAAAAAAAAAAAAAAATCTCATCTTATTTTCTTCCTCTCTCTTTTTATCCTCCACCTTCCTTCTTCCAACAACCTTCTTTTCTCCTTCTCACGGATATCTTCTATCTCCCCCGATACATGGACTGTGTCCCTCAATTTTTCCATTTTTTTCTCCCTCTCTCTTTGTCAAACTTCAAATTTGTCTTCTTCCTCCCACTTTGTCGATGTAACAAAGTGCAAACTATATTTCTCTAAACGGCTGATTTGTAAACAGCGACAATTATTTATGCATGGACTCCATACAGATAACGATGACACAAATTAGGAGGAAGAAATATATATATATATATATATATATATATATATATATATATTAAACAAATCTTGGCGCTACATGATCCTTACAAATATCGAAAATAAAATCTCCCTAGTTATTTTACCTCGTTCGTCGTCATTTATTTTTCTTTCTTAAATTTCTTCTCTTTTCCTGCGTTCGTTTCCCACCTCCTATTACCTTCTCCTACTCTCTCCTATTTTCTAATAACTCTCTTCTTCACGCTCCTCTTCCTCCTTCATATCTTCACCTCTTTCCTCTCCACCTTTCCCTCTTTCGTCTCTTCATCCCTTTTTAATTTCCAACTCTTTCCTCTTTTCGCATCACTCTGCACCTCCCTTTTCATAAATCTCCCCTTTTTCTCTTCCTCTTCCAAATCCTCACCTCTTGGCCTCCTCCCTTTTCACTCTCCTCCATCATTTTCACTAGCTCGCTCACTCCGCCTTTTCTTTTCATCAACTTCTTATTTTCTACCTCGTCTTTCTTTTCCTCCACGTCGCCTTCCCATTGCTCAGTCTTTCTCTTTTTTTATATCTTTCTTTTCTTTTCTCTTCTCTTCACCTCCCTCCTATTCTTCCTTCAGCATCCTACCCTTCGCCATCCTCCTCTTCCTCCCTCTTCTTTTCATATCTTTTTCTCTTCTGCGCATTTTTGTTTCATGCAGACGATGTTTTTCGGATTTTCCATCACGTTTTTTCGCCCGCCGTTCTAACTTGTACTGCTAATGCAGGTTACCTTGTTTCCGCTTCTCTTTCGAAGAAGCAGAAGCAAGCAAGCCGACTTTAGTGGAAGGCTTCACCGACTGCAACGATCCAGTTGTTCTTCCAGTCACGTTGGAGCCATTATAGTCCCGCGGAAGCAGAGACAGACGCAGGCTGGTAAAAAGAATTATGAATAAAAAAAACCAAACCTGAAATAAGGATGGGGGAAAAAAATCAAAAAACAAAACAAAGCCCCACCCTCTAAAAAAATATGCTAAACGAAAAATAAAAACCCAATAAATAAATGAAGAAAAATAAAAACCAATCGCAAAGAACAATGGTGACGATAAGAAAATGGTGACAACGAAAAATATCTGATTTGGGCTTCGTGGTTAGAGCAGTGGACAAACGATCATGAAGTATGAGGTATCCTGACGAGTATAAATTGGGTAACGTTCGTAACTATCTATTTTTTTATGTGACGCGTCCCTTCAGGGTAATGAATCTCCACAACTTCCTATCCTTGTGGTTCTTAGTAACTTTTGTCTTTTTATTATCTCACTAACCTCGGGTCAGTCAGCCATTTAAACAAGCTTTTCAGATAGATGGTCCACTGCCTCTCATGGCTCTTTTTCTTTCAGTATCGCATGTAAGTGTTAGATTCTCCAAACCCTCCTTCCTCATTATTTCAGCTGTCTTTGTTTCTTATTCCGGGTATGAGAGACTTTTTTGTTTCCATTTTCCTTAAGACTTCTTCATGGCATTCTCAACATCCTTCTGTAGAACCACATTTCTATTGCCTCTAGTCTTTTCCGTACCTGCGAAGAGATTATCCAATATTCACTGCCGTATAGAAGGAATTATATTACGTAGAAGTTTAGCGCCCTTTCGAACGAATTTGTTTTTAGTACTTTCTTTTTTTGAATGAGTCTTTTTCTATTCCAAAGTGCATTCGAATTTCGGTGAATCATTTCTATCAGCTGTTGAAACACATCCCAGATATTTAAACTTATCAAGCAAGTAGAGAATTACATACTTACCAAGCAGAATTCTAACTACTAAACGGAACCATGGAACTTCGATAGATGTTGAGAACTCAGTGTATTCATTATCTGATGTTTTCTCTCTTCTTTCACTTTTTGCCTGTATCTTCACATTTTCTCCCTTATCCTTTCCATTCTCTTCTTTCACCTTTTGCCTGTATCTTCATATTTTATCCCTTATCCTTTCCAATTTCTTCTTTCACGTCTGGCCTGTATCTTCCCATTTTCTCCCCTATCCTTTTCAATCTCTTCTTTCACTTTTTGCCTGTATCTTCACATTTTCTCCCTTATCCTTCCCAATCTCTTCTTTCACTTTTTGCCTGTATCTTCACATTTTCTCCCTTATCCTTTCCAATCTCTTCTTTTTGCCTGTATCTTCACATTTTCTCCCTTATCCTTTCCATTCTCTTCTTTCACCTTTTGCCTGTATCTTCATATTTTATCCCTTATCCTTTCCAATTTCTTCTTTCACGTCTGGCTTGTATCTTCCCATTTTCTCCCCTATCCTTTTCAATCTCTTCTTTCACTTTTTGCCTGTATCTTCACATTTTCTCCCTTATCCTTCCCAATCTCTTCTTTCACTTTTTGCCTGTATCTTCACATTTTCTCCCGTATCGTTTCTAATCTCTTCTTTCACGTTTGGCTCGTATCTTCACATTTTCTTCCTTATCCCTCCCAATTTCTTCTTTCACTTTTTACCTGTATCTTCACATTTTTCCCTTATCCCATCCAATCTCTTCTTTCATCTTTTGCCTGTATCTTCACAATTTCTCCCTTATCCATTCCAATACAACTAAGATAATCCATTATCTCATAGCTCCTTTCACCTTTTGCCTGCATCTTCATATTTTCTTCCTTATACATTTAAATCTCTTTTTAACCGTTTTCTTGTATCTTCTCATTCTTTTCCTTATCCTTTCCAATATTTGTTACCTATCTGGATGTTAGAAATGATGTATCCTCTCTTTTATCTTTCTTTTGCTCTATCTCATCAGAAAGAATTTCCCTTCCTATGTGCCTTTTAATCTTCCGCTTTTTCGTCTCTTGGTACTTGGCCCGCAAATCCGTCTCTCTATTTCTGTCTCTCGTCTCTATCTCCTACCCAACTCTCTCTCTCTCCCCCTATCTATCTATCTATCTATCTATCTATCTATCTATCTATCTATCTATCTATCTATCTGAAATTAGATATGGTTATAAAATGTGCGTCAAAGGCGCCAACGCCGTAAAAAGCACAGTGCAAAACCCATCTGTTAACCATCATGCTATGTATATGTTGACCCTGTAGATTGCCAGTCGAATATGGAGCCAAAGTCTCACCACACTGGATTTCAGTAATGGCTTCTCAGGGAATTATTTTTTTTTTGTGTGGGTGGAGGGTGTATTACCTCCATGCTCAACCGGTTTTGAGCTGTTCTCCAGTTTATTTAGGAACTTAACGTTAAAATTAAAATCCTTTTGTTCGACATCTTATATTAATATCTATCTATCTATCTATCTATCTATCTATCTATCTATCTCACTCTGTTCATATCTATCTATCTATCTATCTATCTATCTATCTATTTCACACTGTTCATATCTATCTATCTATCTATCTATCTATCTATCTATCTATCTATTTCACACTGTTCATATCTATCTATCTATCTATCTATCTATCTATGTATCTATCTATCTATCTATCTATCTATTTCACACTGTTCATATCTATCTATCTATCTATCTATCTATCTATCTATCTATCTATCTATTTCACACTGTTCATATCTATCTATCTATCTATCTATCTATCTATCTATCTATCTATCTATCTATCTCACTCTGTTCATATCTATCTATCTATCTATCTATCTATCTATCTATCTATCTATCTATCTATCTAATGTCTATTTCAGAATATACAAGTGCAGAGCAAAAATATTAAAAATAATGAACTTTACGCTCTCCCAATTATTCTTCACTATTTTCAGTTTCATGTGTGGACCGCAATAATCAGGATTAAATTATTTCATTATATATATATATATATATATATATATATATATATATATATAGAGAGAGAGAGAGAGAGAGAGAGAGAGATAAAGAGAGAGTGAAAGAAAGAGGATAAAACATTTTAAAAATTGGCAATTTTCTAGCCACTTGTATCCGAGGATGCCCGTCTACTAGGGTGGATAGCCAATCCCTGTTGCAGACGCCTGCTCAGGCACACATGTATTTGTTCAACACCCACCGAGTCCACCTGTGGTTTATACTGCAGCTATTCTGAGCGGACCTTAGTTACAGTTTCGGGGAGATAGCACGTTATCTAGCGTGATCAACAACTCCAGCACGCTCAGACCCTCGGTCACGATGACTTGTAACTTCGTGCTAGCACAACCGTCGATGGCCCCCAAAGAGTTTCGTCTACACAATTTCGCTCACGAAGCGTGGTATGCTTTTCATGCACTTTTCAAAGGTGCCGCGCGTTAGGATCGCCTCCCCTGCACCAATAACACCAAGAAATCACCTTCCTGACAAATCAACCATTTGGGAGACTCGAACCAGAGTCTCATAGTCAGAAAGCGAACGTTACAACCATTCGGTCATATGCCTTAAAAAACATTTTACAAACAAAGAAAAGAGTACTGAATTGTTGTGTACTCCTATATTACAGTGAATGCCAGACAAGCTTCTCACGGATGAAGAAGAGACTTGAAGCAACAGAAAACGCGGTTCTACAGAAGGATGCTGAGAATACCATGGGTAGAGTAGGCAAGCAACGAATATGTCTTTTGGAAAATGAAAAGAAAAAGGACACTTAGAATCAGAAACCGTCAATTGAAAATTTCTAGGGTGCATAACGAGGAAAGAGTGTTTGGAAAATTTGACACTCACAGGGCATGATGAAAGCAAGGCGACCAGAGGAGAGCAGTGAATAATCTACCTGACGATCTGGTGTAAATGGTTGTCAGAACCGGGATCAGGAGAAAGACGAACCCCTACCGCTGTTATAACGTGCCTTCCCTTTGTCTTTTATCTAAATATATTTTCACGGCAATTGTACTGATGAGATTTCCTTCTTGGTACCCAGGCTTTAAGCACAGTACTATGCTGGCAGTTAGGTCCCATGAATTCACTGTTGAAATTGTAACCGTAAGTTCTATGCTAATAGTTTCTTCTCTTACACTTCTTGCTTGTGGAACTCTCTTCTGGCGTCATACTTTCCTGTCAACCACGATCTTCTAAACAGGCTCGACGTTGCTTAACTTCGTTGATCGTACGATAATAAAATAATAGTAATAATTAAGAGTGCATTGAGCCAGAGTGTTGGGATAAAAAGCAATAATAATAAGATGGAATAAAACTAGTATTAAAATAATAGTAATAATGAAGAGTGTATAGAGCCAGAGTGTTGGGATAAAAAGCAATAATAATAAGATGGAATGAAACTAGTAATAAAATAATAGTAATAATGAAGAGCGTATTAAGCAAAAGTGTTGGGATAAAAAGCAACAATAATAAGATGGAATAAAACTAGTAATAAGATAATAGTAATAATGATGAGTTTATCAACTAGCAATGACTGACACCCCCCAAAAAAACCCCAAAAAAACAACAAAAAAAGAAAACAGCCACCTATTCACCTTTGATCGACACCCACATATATATACGGCTTAGCGTAGTATGACACAAAGCCACAATTGTGGAGCACTCCAAAAGTTTAGAACCTATCAGTATTGACTTTTTAAACTAACCTGTCGATTATATTTATATGGCCGTTAGCCTCTTCATATGCATTCTGTTTTACCTTTTTTCATATTCTCTTTATAACTTATTTTTATTTTTATTATGCCCATTATTATGCACACCCGAGGTCCTTGGTTGGTGTCGTTGTAGACCAAGTGATAGCAAATATCCTCAAATAGATGCTGACCCAAGCAGTGATGTGGCCAAGAGAGTCTCAATTGCATACCCCTGTATTTCCAATTCATCCAATCACGATTGTCGTGCTTTTGAGACGGTTCCAAGTGCTCCATTTATTATGGGCAAAACCGTAACCTTCACCAGCTGTCTTAGTTTCAGATGAAGTTCCTGGTATGTGCGTCGCTTTACTTTGCCTACATCTTGCGGTCATTTGGCCCAGGCACATGATCCAACATGTCCAAAGCCGGTTTTCCTACCTTGATTGAATGATCACCCTGGGTTTCCAGATTTCGATTGTATTTTATAGTGTTTTTTTTTTCTAGGACAACCATCGGTTTGTCCAGTGTATCCTCGTTTTTACCCTGCCGTGCCTTTTTTTTTTTTTAAAAAAATATTTCTTTTGAGCCTGATATACTTTACAGCCTCGCCTCTTTCTCCACAAAGACAACACTTGTTGATTTTCCAGTTCTGTGCATTTTTGTTTTGACATAATTTGTTTTTGATTGCAAAGACAAGACATTTCGTTTCTGCTATCAACAGACAAGATAAAGAAACATTGTTAATAAGTTGTTATCAATTTGTTAATTATTATGTTTCTAGCCATATAATTAACAACTAGGTTTTCTAGCTTCTTTCAAAAAGATCCCCCCCCCAAAAAAAAAAACTAAAAAAAACTTTGCTATGCCTTTTATGAAGAAAGAAATCCGAATGATCGAACGTGTTAAAAGTGGTTTGGAAACTCTTGTGCAAAAGATTACTTGTTCAACGATGCCCCAGGGGTTGGTTAACCAGATGAAAACCTTACCCGAAAATAGTCAATGTTATATTGGGATGTTCCGAAAGTAGTTATTATTTTACTGCTATGAATTATGGTAACTGTAATATTAACCGTTTCCTTATAACGATACATTCGGCATTTATTGACCGAACAGCCAGTGCTATTCGAGTTAAGCTTTTTGCACTCTCTGGCTATCGGGCTGAGATCAAAGTGTAGTATCTGTTCTCATCTCTAATGGTAATGGTAATATTAGCTGTTTCTTTATAAAGAAACATTCGGCATTCATTGATGCCAATACCACTTGAGTTAGGCTTTTCTTCATTCCCTGATCGAGCTGAGATCAAAGTGTAGTATCTGTTCTAATCTCTAATGGTTATGCTAATATTAGCTGTTTTCTTATAATTAAAGATTCCGCATTTATTGTCCGAGTAGCCAATGGTACTTGAGTTACACTTTTTTTTTTAAATTTCCTGGCAATCAGGTTGAAATCGAAGTTCCGTATTTGTTCTCTTGATCTCTAGTTGTAATATTAACCCTTTCCCAATAAGGAAATATTCAGTATTCATTGACCGAGCAGCCAGTGCTACTTTCAGTTGAAATTTATAAAATCTTTTTATTAAAACAATTTTTCAGTAAAATAGGTTTCTCAAGTCCAGTAACTGTAATTGCCTTATCAAAATTTATGGAGGCTTCACCATCTTGATTATGTCATTATTTTCTCTTCACGTTACATGTGCTATCCATTTTAGCTGTTGCTACTGTTGAAAAACATCGTTCAGATAAACGAAGCATTACGTTGAAAGTGTTCTGATTTGGTTAAAAGAAAAGCTGTTATTCTACAGCATGGCATACTAAGAAAGAAAAGTAAAAAGAAAAAGAAAATTAGATCGTTACGTAGGTTTGCCATGTTCTTCCAGATTTAACACGTACAGATGTTTGTTTGTTACGATCACAATAATACTCCATAAGCGGCAGAACATTCAGAAAAAGAAAGAAATTGAAACCAGCCTTTCAAACTTTTTAAATTCCAGCCGTCTATAATTCTGGAGAGAGAGAGAGAGAGAGAGAGAGAGAGAGAGAGAGAGAGAGAGAGAGAGAGAGAGAGAATATATTGTCATGTGATATTATTGTTATATCATGTTATTCTTATATGATGATATTGTCCTTTGATGATATTATTATATGACTATATTGTTATATGATAATATTTTTTTATATATGATGACATTGTTACGTGATATTATCCTATGATATTATTATGTGATTTTATTGCTATATAATATTGTTGTATCATAAAATTATTATATAATTATATAATTATGTGATATTATTGTTATATGTTTATGTTAAACGATATGTGATAATATTTGTCATATGATGATATTGACATATAATTATATTGTCATATGATATTATTATTATATGATTATGTTGTTATACGATAATATCGTTATATGAGAGCGACATTATATTGTTACATGATATTATATAAGATTATATTATGTGATATTATTGTTATATGATTACATTATTATATGTTATTACTGCTATATGATAATATTGTTATATGATTATATTTTTACATGATATTGGTGTATAATTATATTGCTATATGATATTATTATTATATGGTTACATTATTATATGTTATTCCTGTTATATGATAATATTGTTATATGAATATATTTTTATATGATATTGTTAATAATTATATTGTTATATGATATTATTGTTATATGATTACATTATTATATATCATTACTGTTATACGATAATATTGTTATATGATTATATTGTTATATGATATTTTGTTATATGATTACATTATTATATGTCATTACTGTTATATGATAATATTGTTATATGATTATATTTTTTATACGATATTGTTATATGTTTATATTGCTATATGATATTATTGTTATACGATTATACTATATGTTATTACTGTTATATGATTATATTTTTATATGATATAATTATTATATGATTATATTTTTATATGATAATCTTGTTATATGATAATCTTGTTATATGATTATATTGTTTTATGGTATTGTTATATGATATTATTGTCATATGATAATGTAGGTATTTGATTCTATTGTTATGTGATATTATTTGGCCATTATTAGATCTACCTCAACTATTGCTCTGAAGATATTAATAATAATAATATTCGTTCATGTTATTGTTGGAAAATAGAAACTTCATCATTAATGCAGTTGATCTGAATTCTAATTCTTATAACATGAACAGCGATATCATTTGCCTTGGTCATTAATAATGTTATAATGGTTGATTTGATTAAATATTGGCTTGGTCTCTTCTCTCTCTAGTCTTCAATCATCAATTAATATTCATTTTCGGGAAATGATATTTAAATGCTTGTTTATGCGTACATATTGGTGTTCATCATGGTGACTCAAGGTCGTCAATCGATCGATATGGATAAAGGAAGGAAGAGAGGAGGGGATAGAGGGATAGATAGAGAGAACGAGCGAGAGAAAGAGAGAGAGAGAGAAAGAAAGAGATGGATAGATATATTGAGAGAGAAGTGACAGGGAGAGAGAGAGAGAGAGAGAGAGAGAGAGAGAGAGAGAGTGATGAAACAGATAAGGGGAGAGGAAGAAACAAATAGACATATAAAATGGGAGAGGGCGAGAGAGATGCACGGATAGGTCGACACAGAGGGAAATGGAAAGATAGATATATAGAGAAAAAAAGAGGATGATACATAGATAGATATAAAGTGGGAAACGAATGGCGAGACAAATAAAGAGAGAAATAGAAAGATAAAATGAAGATAAAGAGAGAAGATGCGAAAAGATGTATTATACATACATACATATATATATATATATATATATATATATATATATATATATATAGAGAGAGAGAGAGAGAGAGAGAGACAGACAGACAGACAGACAGACAGACAGAGCGAGAGAAATGGATAGAAAAAGTGGGAAAACGAGAGAAACAGATAGAAGAAAAATGACGGAGAGAGAAATATTGATGGAAAGGCAGAGGACAAAATTAAGAGAAAGATGGAAATATACACATACACACACAGACAGAAAGAGAGAGAGAGAGAGAGAGAGAGAAATGAGGCAAATGGAGAGAGAGAGAGAGAGAGAGAGAGAAAGATGAATAGATATATACAAATAGATAAAGAGAAACAGAGGAAAAGAAAGTAAGGAAAGAAGGAAGGAAAAAGGAAGGAAAGAAATAATAAGAAATAAATGTAGACAAAAAGAAATTAAACAGGAGAAATACATAGATAGATAGATAGATAGATAGATAGATAGATAGATAGATAGATAGATAGATAGATAGATAGATAGGGAGGGAGGGGGAGGGAGGGAATGAGATATATAGATAGATTGGTGGATAAATAAATACGAACAGACAGCGATAGATAGATAGATTGGTGGATAAATAAATACGAACAGATAGCGATAGATAGATAGATAGATAGATAGATAGATAGATAGATAGATAGATAGATAAAAAGCGAGAGAGGGTGGACAAAGAGACAAAAAGAATGATAGAGAGAAGGATAGAGAGAAAGAAAGAGAAAGTGACCTAAACAAATGAATGGATAGAAAAATAAAATGAGAAAGAGATGGAAAAAGTGTGATAGAGATGGATAAATAAATAAAGAAAGAAAGAAAGAAAAAAAGAAAGAAAATGAAAGAAAGAAAAAGAGAGAGAGAGAGAGAGAGAGAGAGAGAGAGGCAGACAGACAGAGATCATGATTACGCGTCCCGTAATCCGTTAGGGTCGTTAGGACACCATATGTATTACAGCCAACAGGTGTATATCGGGCAAAGTAGCCTCACAGACCCAATTCTGCTTCATGCTGGTCTTGAATTTTAGGTAGTCCTTCTCATCGAAGGCACCCCCCCAAAAAAAAACTGCCATTTACCCCCTCCCCGTCGGAGGAAGATAAATTCATCACCCTTCTCCACCCCCATGAAATTAGTGCGAAATGATTGGATTCTAACCCAGTTGGAATTTGAACCCAGCACACTAAATCCATTTTCTGAACCGATAACACTTATGCTGCTTCTACATCCACGCATAGCTTTTAAAAACTGATGTTTCCTTATTGATTTAATGAGAACGTCTGAATAGTTTGTTTTAGCCACCAATACGTATTTCGAGTGACAGATTAAAAGAGAGAAAAAAAGATATATGGATAAAGAAAAAGCGAGAAGGAAAGGAAAAGAAAGAAAAAAAGAAAGAGAAAGAGATGGGTGAATGGTCAAAGTGATAAAACGAAAGAGAAAGGGAAAGATAGAGAAAGAGAAGGAAAGAGAAAGGGAGGAAGGAGGTGGATAAATAAAGAGATAGATGTAAAAATAACGAAAAAAACAAAAACAAAACATGGATAAACAAAAAGAAAGAAAGAAAAAGAAAGAAAGAAAAATGAAAGAAAGAGAGAAAAAAAAAACAGACAGGCAGTTAGACCGGAAGAACTAGAAAGAGATAGATATGTGGGCGGATAGAGAGATAAAATGAGAGACAGGGATAGGCAAAAGGAAAGAGAAAGCGAAAGAGGAGGTGGGTAGATAAAGAAAGAAAGCTAGAGAGAAGGACAAATTGAGAGATAAAGAGAAAGGGGTGGGAAGAGAGAAAGAGTAAAAAATGATGGATATGTAGATAGAGTGAGATAGATAGAGTGAGATTGATAATGAATGAAAGAGGTAGATTAATGAGTGTAAACGGAGAGAAAAAAAGGCCAATAAATAAATAGAAAGAAAGAAAAAACGACCGACAGATAGACAGAACGAAAGATAGAAAAAAAAAGAAAGAAAGAGACAATGGATGGATAGACAGATAAAATGAGAGAGAGAGGGAGAGAAAGTAACATATAGACAAAGACAGAAGGAAAGAGAAAGCGAAGACGGTGGATAGATACAGAGAGAAAGCGAGAAGGACAAATAGACAGATAAAGAGAAAACGAAGGGAGACAGAGAGTACGAGCGTGCGTGACAGAGAAGCAAAAAGATAAACAGATATGTAGGTAGATAAAGGGAGGGAGAAAGATAGCTAGAAAGAGATAGATAAAGAGAGGGAGAGATGGATAGATAGATGAATATGTAAGAAGAGAGAAATTATACATATAGCGGGGCATAAAGAGAGAAACGGAGAAATAAATAAAGAGAATGATTGATAGAAAGAGAAAGAGTGAAAGAAAGTGAAAGCGAGCGATAAATGGATAAAGGAATGGAAAAAAAGAAAGTGTGGGAGAGAAAAAATGCGATCATGCATGGAATAAACGGAAAAGACATTAAAGAACAGCAAAGATAAAACGAGAGAGAAAAAGAAATAGAGAAAGAGGAAAATATAGAGAGAAAGGGAAAGAAAGAAAAAAGAAAGAAAGAAAGAAAAAAAGAAAGAAAGAGAAGAGAGAAAGAAAGAAGGATAATTAGAATGAAAGGGATTGAGAGAAATAGGGAAGGAGTGAGAAAAAAGATAGATAGAAAGAGGGAGGGAGGGAGAGAGAGAGAGAGAGAGAAGTGGGGGAGAAAGTGGAATAAAACAGAGAAAAATAAAACCAGTAGGAAAACATGAAAATAAAATAAAGCAAGAACGAATGAACGAAAGAATGAAGTTGAAGGAGAAAGAGAAAGAAAAAGAGAGAAAGGTAAGGAAAAAGAGAGAAAGAAATACAGATGGCGAGAGAGAAAGAGAAAGAAAGAGAGAGAATGAAAGTGAGGGGGAGAGAGAGGGAGAGAGAAATAAAAGGGATAGTGGGAGGAAAGAAAGTGGGAAGGGGAAAGAAAACGGAGAAAAATAAAACAGGCAGGAAAACATGAAAAGTCGAGAACAAAGAAAGAAAAAAGAAAGAATGGATGAAGAAAAGAAAAGAAGTTGAAGGAGAAAGAGAAAGAAAAAGAAAGAAAGGTAAGCAAAAGGAGAGAAATAAGTGAGATGGCGAGAGAGAGAGAGAGAGAGAGAGAGAGAGAGAGAGAGAGAGAGAGAAAGACAAAGAGACAATGAAGGAGGGAGTGAGAAAAATTAAAAGGATAGTGAGAGCAAAGAAAGAGTGAAAAGGAAAAAAAACGGACAAATAAAAGAAACAAGAAAAGATGAAAAGACGAGAACGAAATAAATAAAGAAAGAAAAAAAGTTGAGGGAAAATGAAAAAGAAAAAGATGGAAAGGGAAAGAAAAAGAGAGAAAGTAAGAGATATAGCGAAAGAGTGAGAAAGAAAGAGAGAGAGAATGAAAGAAGGGGTGGCTTGAGAGAGAAATAAAAAGGGATAGTGAGAGGGAAGAGGGGAGGCGGAGATAAAATCATCAAAAGATGGCGAGAAATAAAGGTAGAATTCAAGCGAAACTAATCTATGTGAGAATTTCTTAACTGAAGAATTATTATTACATACATTTTTATTCGGACTATTGCACTCGTCTTGGCTGTTATACTCACAACGTTTCGGCCGTTGTATGCTCCTACCTTCTTCAGGTATCTAGCATAATCGGTAAACTTGTTGGAATTTCGAACCGGACCCTTTATTCAATCCACGTGGTAGAGAGAGAGAGAGAGAGAGAGAGAGAGAGAGAGAGAGATGGAAAATAGAGAGAGAAAGAGAGAGATGGATCGAAAGAAAGAGAGAGAGAGAGAAGTGGTTGAAAAATAGAGATGAAAAATACTCTCCAAGTTCTCCAACGCCTTTATCCACTGTGTCACAGTGAATAAAGGCGTTGGTTAGATCCAGTGACAAGACCCAAAGAGTGTGAGTTCAATACCCGGTTAAGGCAGTGGAGAACTTAGAGAGGGAATTAACAAGAGATAACTGATAACTGACATCCATTAAACATGGCACGTGCAACTAGTGAGCGAAATAAAGGGTTCAGTTCGATATTCCAACTACCTGAAGAAGGCCGGAGCGTACAACAGCCGAAACGTTTTTTTTTCACAAAGATGAGGACAAAAGCCCGAATAAAGTAAATAGTGTACATAATACCTCATCTCAGAAATATAGACAGAAATGTGGTTCTGCAGAAGGATGTAGAATATACCATGGACTGAACATGTGAGCAACGAAAAAGTTTCAGAGAAAATCCAAACAAAAGTGACACATATTTAACACCAGGAATAGTTAAAAACTCTAGGGCATATAATGAGGAAAGCGTACTTGGAAAATTTAATACTTACAGGGCAAATAGAAGACAAGAGGGACAGAGGAAAAGAACGCATAATCTACCTAACGATGGCCGAACAAGGTTTACGAGAGATAAAAAAAAATGTATTAAGAGCTACAAAGGAGAGGAAATTGTGGAGAGTCATGATCACCAACACCCTAAAGGGATTTGGAGCAGAGAAGTATTGGATTATGGAACGTCATATGATATATTTCGAAAGTTGTTCATCAGATTGTAAGAATCATATTGTAATGTCCTGATGCCCTGTACATTGCAGCTAGGATTTTTTTGACCTAGAGACTATACTGCCATTATACTTGTTCGTATTCACAAACCTTACGGTTTTTCTACCTAGGATCAGAGTCTAGTACCTTCCTGATCCCCTGCCCATTGGAGCTGGGATCAATAAATCTTAATGTCCTAGAATCTATAATGTCTTTCAGCTTGTTCGTATTCACGACTCTTACGCTTTTTTTTTTTTTTTTTTTTACCTAGGATCAGATTGTAGTACCTTCCTGATCCCCTGCCCATTGGAGCTGGGATCAATAAATCTTAATGTCCTAGAATCTATACTGTCTTTCAGCTTGTTCGTATTCCCGACTCTTACGCTTTTTTTTTTTACCTAGGATCAGTGTGTAGTACCTTCCTGATGCCCTGTACTTTGCAGCTAGGATCAATAAATCTTAATGACCTAGAGACTATACTGCCATTCTGCTTGTTCGTATTCACAAACCTTACGGTTTTTCTACCTAGGATCAGAGTCTAGTACCTTCCTGATCCCCTGTCCTTTGGAGCTGGGATCAATAAATCTTAATGTCCTAGAATCTATAATGTCTTTCAGCTTGTTCGTATTCCCGACTCTTACGCTTTTTTTTTTTTACCTAGGATCAGTGTGTAGTACCTTCCTGATGCCCTGTCCTTTGGATCTAGGATCAATAAATCTTTCTGACTTAGAATCTCTACTGTCATTTTGCTTGTTCGTATTCATGACCGTCATGCAGAGTGTAGTACCTTCCTGATCAGCTGTCTTTTTGAGCTAGACTCAATAAATCTTTCTGACCTAAAATCTGTATTGGCATTCTGCTTGTTTTTATTCACGACCGTTATACTTTTCTATCTCGGCTTAGAGTGTATTATCTACCTGCTCCAGTGTCCTTGTTAGCTAAACTTTCTGGTTAAGAATCTAAAAGGTTATTTTGCTTGTTTTTACACACGTTTTTACACCTTTCTGTCTTGGATCAGAGTGCAGTTTCTGTCCGATTCTTGATTCTTATAAGCTAAAATCAATATAACTTTTTCAGCTAGAATTCATATTGTTAAAGAAACAGCCCAACAAGTGAATTACAAACCGGAGATACTAGAATTAAACACGTGAAACAAATTGAAATATCTCTGAAGTGTTTTAACAGAGGATGAAAAATGCGACACTGAAATCCGAAGGCGAACTGAGATGCCTTCCTATAGATAAGCAATGTGTGAAGACACAGGAAAATTTCATTAGAAACAAGTATCATGGATTATCCCTCCTCCTATATGGCTGTGAATGCTGGACAATCTCCTCACGGATGAAGGTGACAGAAAATGTGGTTCCGCAGAAGGATGCTGAGAATGCCACAGACTGAACACGTGAGCAGCGACAAAGTTTCAGAGAAAATGTAAACAAAAAGGAAAACTTGTACGTGACATGAGAAACAGGTAGTTGACATTTCTAGGTCACATTACGAGGAAAGAAGACTCGGAAAACCTGACACTCAGGATATATTAAAGCTAAGAGGGACATAGGAACACTGTGTATAACCTACTTAACGAGCTTTTGTAAATGGATGGCAGAACAGCAATTAGGAGATATATCAAAAAGAAAATTTTTACTAAGCGTTACATAGGGAAGGAAATTGTGGAGAGCCATTATCGTCAACTTTCTGAAGGGATACAGTGCGTAGAAGAATAGTTCTGCTTATTTGTATGCAAGACCGTTACACTCTACTACCTCGGATCAAGTCTGAAGAAAAATAGATAAATGAGAGTACTAACCGCATGTAAACACGGATACAGCTTTTTGTTTCCCCAGATCGAAAAGGACAAACACAGTCGTATTGACGGGGCACATTTCTTAAAAAAAAAACAACAAAAAAAAAACACTTCCTATATGAATAAAATAAGTTTTTTTTTTCATACAACAGCATATGGCACAGATGCTTTGCAAATCGATGAGTCGAAAATAACCGCTTGATTGAGATTTGTATTTTACGGCTTGTCAACACTTTATGGGTCACACTTAAAGCCGAAACGTTTTTGTTAGAATTGTAAGAATAATTCTGATTTGCAAGTGGATATTGCATTAAAAAGGTTTTGGAAATAACAATGCGTTTTCCAGATACGAGTCGCACTATTTAACACATACATGTAATAGGTGGAAGAAATGGTAATGCTAGCCGTTTCCGTATAAGGAAACATTCGGCTTTCATTGACCGAGCAGCCAGTGCCACTGTCGATCGATATTTTATAAAATCTTTCTCTTAAAACAATTTTTCAGGAAAAAGGTTTTTCAGTTCCATTACCTTTTTATCGCTCTTTCCAGTACCGATTGGGGTTTCCTTCCTCGCCTTTTGTTTGAAGTAGTGTGGAAAGGGAGACACCATGGAGTAATGGATAGCGGCTCGGATTGAAGAATCGGAGAGCCGAGTTCGAATTCCATTGAATTCACTTACGTGCTAATACCCTTGGGAAAGGTATGAATCCTCTTCTTCTTCTCCCTACCCACCCAGCTATGGGTAAATAGCAGGACGGACGGGTTTCTATAGCCTTGGATGGCAACTGGTCTACCGCAGGAAGAAATGGCAACCTACTGCGGGAAAAAAATCTGCCTCGTCAGTCATGTATCGAAAGATACATGATCACCTAAGCGTGTATCACGTATCGTACATAACTGACTTAAATTCACTTATGCGCTAATACTCTTGGGAAAGGTATGAATCCTCTTCTTCTCCCCCCAGCTATGGGTAAATAGTAAGTCAGACCGGATTCTATAGCCTTGGATGGCAACTGGTCTACCGCAGAAAGAAATGGCAACCTACTGCGGAAAAAAATCTGCCTAGTCAGATACATGATCACCTAAGCGTGTATCACGCATGGCATATAACTGACTGAGTGTGGAAAGTCAACATCTGTCATTATTTTCTCTTCGTGTTTCACATGCAATCCGTTTTAGTTGTTGCTGTTGTTGAAAGTCCTCAAATGATGTGGTTTCTTTTATTAAGCACAACCATTGATCCGAGAAAGAGGTTGTATAAAATTGATTGTATAGATTTTTTTAATTAGTTTGGTGCATTGACTGCCGTCCATATGAAAGTCCCGATCTGACGAGAATATTTAAGAACATGATTAGAGTTAATGTTCGTGATTCGGTAGCGCCAGACCGCAATATTCAAAGAAGAATCGTCCTCGCTAAGATCTACAGACTTCATTCGCTCGAAAATATTTGAAACCATTGATCTGAGTTGTTGACAGCTGACAATTTAAATTTTTTGAACGAGTTTGACACGATTCAGTGCATCCATATAAAAGTATCGATTTGACGGGTTTATTTAAGAAAATGACTTGAGGTGCTTGGGCACATCGACGTGGTGTAATGGTCAGCAAGCTTGTCCTGCTAAATTATTTATAACTGAATAGTAAGTTCGATCCTCACCGGGTACTCCCTATTTTCGGCCTTGTACCATATCTAAGCTATGCTTAGTAGGAGGGCACCCCGACGTGATGTAATGGTTAACAAACTTGTTTCGCTAGAACAATTACGACTGAGTAGTGATTTCGATCCTCACTGGGTGCCTCATACTTTTGGCCTTGAGCCATCACTTGGTTTTAGGACATTTTCAGATACCTTAGTGCCTTATTTAGTTTCTGAAAATCGTCTTACGCTATTCCTATGTGCTTTCGAATTTCTGTGTCCTATTTTCCGTCGCCATGTTACTACACGACATAGATAGTTACAGTCTCTAAGCTAGAGGTAGTAAAACACAATAAGCGAGATACGAAACGAAGTCTCCCGCTGCTAACTCTGCACGAGATACGCCTACATGCACGGTTAAAGTAAAAATCTTTTCCGACAAAACGGAATGGCGATCTACAGAAACGGCAAATAGATTAGATGAAATTAAAGGACAGAAAAGCCTTTGTTGTGTCAAAAACAAAACAAAACAGAAAAAAACTCAAAAAACAAACAAACAAAAAAAAAGCGATGCAAGGTGTCTGCAATTTTTTTGAAGGAAAGATAGGTGAATGGGTTTTGCAGTTTGTTTGTTCGCGTGTAATGAACGAGAACATACGAGAGCGTGTAAATATAACGGAAAGAGTTTTGACGTGGCAGCTGATTAAAAATAGACATTTATAATTAGGAAAGGGCGATAACTCCTGTTTTGGAGTTTAATACATAATTCGTTTACCGCTGGTGTAGATATTTAGACAAAGTTAAGCTATGTGTGGCTAAAGGCGACAACGGTGACAATCGAAGCAATTGTTCTGCAAGGTCAGCCTGCTAAACGATGCTTTACGAAAGGTGTTCTTTTTTATTTGTATGTGAATGTATATATAGTATATTTAGCTAGGTATGGCACAAAATCACTATAATGACGCACCCAGAAGTGATCGAACACAGCCATTCAACTATTAAACTTCAGAAATGCATTTTGTTAGATAAGTCCTATATTTAAAAAGAAAAGAAAAGAATTCTCTACCAAGTGTTCCAAGAACTTATGATAAATCTTTCTGATGTAATGAATATGCATACACCTGGGTTCCCCCTCAGTAATATGATTGGCTGGTGTCAGCTATAAATACAGACTGATGTGGAGGTACATGGTCTACGCCTATTGACGACGCCTATAGTTTTCGTCTATTACCTACGCCTATTGCCTACCACTACGACGAGGACCAGTCCATTACGGTTACCTGCTAGATTGTCCTACCCGGTTACAGTAGTCAGCAACTATTTTGCTACTTCGAACAAATATATCCCTTTCCGGGACATATCACTTTCCAAAACAGGAATTATGATCTGGAATTGAACGTGTATAGAAAGTGCTTTGATCGCTAGATCATCCACGGTAAATTTATATTCAGGTTCTGACAACATTTCGCCTTTCTTGCCGGAGTTTCATGGCTTGAGTTTCATTTTCAATCCGCACCTGGAGATTGTGTCGAACATGAAAGTCAAAGTTGTGCCACCGTTGTTAGTATATATATATATATATATATATATATATATATATATATATATATATATATATATGATATGTCCTGAAAGGGATATATTTGAACGAAGTAGCTAAGTGGTTTTGGCTACTATAACCAAGTAGAATACGGTAGCAGTAATCGAAGTGTAGATCAATGCCGTAATCCAATGGGCGTCGTTATAGACTTAGCTCTCAGACTAAAACTCTTCTGACTCTCGTACCTACACGTCCGTCGGTATTTATGACGGACACCAGCCAATCATATTCCAGTGAGGGGGAACACAGGTGTATGCATATTCCATTATATATATATATATATATATATATATATATATATATATATATATATATATATGTGTGTGTGTGTGTGTGTTTGTGCGGCATCCGTCACTCTCGAGAGACTATAGATCTGCACACAAAGAGTTATGCCTTACCTGCTGATGGCGGCGCAGCATCTGTTATGACTCTACAGGCCCACACAGAAGTGACAGTACATGTGTGTATAATATGCACAAAACACACACACACACACACACACACACACACACATATATATATATATATATATATATATAGCAATGGTTGAGTACCCTTGGATGTGTTATTTTTAATAAAATAGTATGGAATTCAAATTAGAATGCTTAATGCAGTTAATGTCGGTTATCGTATAATCGATACTTCAATTTTCATTGGACACTCGGCAAAACTGTCTTCAAAATATGAATGCGTCTTATACACCGGTGCGTCTTATATTCCAAAAATATATATAGTTATTCACGATGTAAAATGGATTCATCATATAAACATATGATGAATCCATGCATAGTCGATGTATGAATTTATTCGCCTTTATGGGTTTAGTATGAATATGCATTTGAGTGTGTGTGTGATGTTACTCTACAAGTGCTAATGTTACCGTGTTTTCCCGCATTATCTGACGCATGTGCTCTGCACATTATCTGCACATTATCGGCGATTAAACGCCCCCCCTTCACTCGTCCCTTTAGAATTTTCTGGTGAAGATTGTGATTAAATCTCCAGCAGGATTAAAAACCTTGTACTGTCAATGAAACTGTGGATGAAAGTTTTTGTGGGGTCGGGGTCAGCGATCATTTAGAATGTTGGACCCCATTATTCTATCGTTATGCTATTCACCTAAGAGAAGGAATGTTCTGATGTAACAACTGCGGCTCCCTAGCAACCGATGACCTACATTTCGTTTCGGATGATTGCTCTTGATGTTCATCGAGGGGAGATTGACTTAAGGCACCGTCTTTCCCCACTATAAAAAAAATTCATGCGCAGGCATTGCTCAATGTTGTACGATCTTACTTGTTGTTGTACAGGTTGAACGTAGCTTAAGTGACAACTAACCCAATGAGGATTAACAGTATTATTGATATAAATAACAATGCTATGCAACTTTTTTTTTTCAGATCAATTGTTGGATAGCTCATAGAAACGCAACACTGTGAGACTTTAGACAAACGCCGTAAGTCATTAGGTGGGCAAAGAAGCCATATTCAAGAGCAGCTTCTTCTTTGATGTACTTTGTTCCTTCAGGACGTAGGCGATCATGGCTCTCCTCAACCTCCTATCCTTGTAGCTTTTAGCAATGACTGTCCTTTTGCCAAGCCTTCGACCCCCACCCCGTTCAGCCATCCATTCGCACAAGCTCGTCTGGAAGCTGGTCCGATGTATTCACTTGTCTCTTTTGCCTTCGAGATGTTCTGCAAGTGTTAAATTCTCCAAGCCGTCTTTCCTCATTTATGTGTCCCAGAAATTTCAGCCCCCTCTTTCTGATT